GCAGCAGGTTGATGAGCATTCTCCAGCTCCAGTCCCTCGCTTCAGCTATCTTATCTGTCTCTGAGATAGAAAGGAATTGGATCTCACAGCGGTGCTTGAATGCCACACCTCTGCTACATCTGTGATGTTAAACCAGGCCTCCTCCCCATTCCAGACTTATTCAGCAAAAAGGGGTCTGGAATGTCTATGGTAATGGAGAGGAAGTTTCTACCTTGTCTTTTCTTTCCTACAGCCGCATCCAAGTGAGAGTGGGAGAGCATAACATCAATGTCCTTGAGGGGAATGAACAGTTTGTTACTGCTGAGAAGATCATCAGGCACCCTGGCTTTAGTTCGAGGACCCTGGACAATGACATCATGCTGATCAAGCTGGCTTCCCCTGTGACCCTCAATGCCCGAGTGGCCACTGTAGCTCTTCCAACCTCCTGTGCACCTGCTGGCACTCAGTGCCTCATTTCTGGCTGGGGCAACACCTTGAGCTTTGGTGGTGAGTAAGATATTTCATCTACTTTCTCCACATCCTTTGATAACTAACCAGATTCTAAACATAAACTGTTGGCTTCTAGGCTATAAATGCATTGCAAGTTCCCAGTACACACAGGGTTCTAAGGTGGGCACAAGAGGTATTTGCACACAGAATGATCTCTTTCCCAGAATGTAATTATTATTACAGAATGTGCTATTATTACTTCCAAAAAGGACACCAATAATTTCTATTCTGGGATCTAATTTTCTTGAAGAAATATCTACTCTCTCCATACCTCTACAATAATGTACTTGAAGTTCAAGCTAGTACAATAAGACAACAAAAGGAAATCTAGGGGATACAAATTGGATGAAGTCAAACTTTTACTATTTCCAGATGATAAGATAGTTTACATAAATGACCCCACAAATTCTACCACAGAACTTCTACAGGTAATAAACACCTTCAGTAAAGTGGTAGGAAACAAAATTAACACAAAAAAATAAATCAGTAGCCCTCCTTTATGAAGATGATAATGAAGACGATAAACAGGCTGAGAAAGCAATCAGAGGAACAGCGCCCTTCACAATAGCCACAAAGAGTGCCCTTCACAAAAGCCACAAACAGCACCCTTCACAATAGCCACAAACAACAGAAAATATATTGGGGGTAACTCTAGTCAAACAAATGAAAGAACTTTCCAGTCTTTAAAGAAAGAAATTAAAGAAGATATCACAAAATGGAAAGGTCTCCCATGCTCTTGGATAGGTAGGATCAACAAAGTAAAAATGGTAATCTTGCCAAAAATAGTCAATGCAATCCTCATCAAAATCCCAGCACAATTCTTCACAGATCTTGAAATAACAATTGTCGAGTTTATATGGAATAACAAAGCACCCAGGATAGCCAAAACAACACTGTACAATAAAGGAATGTCTGGAGGCATCACCATGCCTGACTTCATGCTCTATTATAATGCCATAGTCCTGAAAACAGCCTGGTATTGGCACAAAAGTATACAGGTAGACCAATGGAATCGAATTGAAAACCCTGATATTAATCCACACACCTATGATCACCTGATTTTTGACAAAGAAGCTAAAAGTATACAATGGAATAAAGAAAGCATCTTCAATGATGGTGCTGGCATAATTGGATGCTGACATGTTGAATATTGTAGATAGATCCATATCTATGGCCATGAAGAAAGCTTAAGTCCAAGTGGATCAAAGATCTCAACATGAGTCCAGCCACACGGAACCTTTTATACAAGAGAATGGGAAGTACCCTTGAATGCATTGGCACAGGAGACCATACCCTGAACATCTTGAATCTTGAATATCTTGAAGAAAAAAACAGTATGCCATTATTCCAGGGTAACTCTAGAGTCACTGTGGTCTTCAATGGAGAGTTTCAGGGGTCACATAGTAGACAACACTGTAACATTTATCCCTAGTCTTGTCTGAATTACATTTCTTTCTTCTCCTTTCCTCAAAGTGAACAACCCAGACCTGCTCCAGTGCCTGGATGCTCCCCTGCTGCCTCAGGCTGACTGTGAAGCCTCTTATCCTGGAAAAATCACCAAAAACATGGTCTGTGCTGGCTTCCTGGAGGGAGGCAAAGATTCTTGCCAGGTAAATGGTTCCTTTTCCATACAAATACTTTGTTGTCTTAGGAGTGAGAGTGGAATGCCCAAGTGTATTTATGGATCAGGAAGTTTGTGTTGTGGTTCCATGGAAATGTGAAGAGGTCTATTCTGGATGCCATTTCAATGCATTAGTGAGAAGAGAAAATGGGATAACAAGTTGAGACATAGCGAGGCTAGAATAACATCTTTAGACCAGAGTAAATGTGGTCCTTCTTCTGCATGCCCCTTTGTTAAACACTGTTTTCCTCCATCTCAGGGTGACTCTGGTGGCCCTGTGGTCTGCAATGGACAGCTCCAGGGTATTGTCTCCTGGGGTTATGGTTGTGCCCTGAAGGACAGCCCTGGTGTGTACACCAGGGTCTGCAACTATGTTGATTGGATTGAGAACACCATTGATGCCAACTAAGAATCCTTAATCCTTCTGTTGTCATTATGCTAATAAAGTGAATACTTTCTGTGAATATTTTCTTGGTCTGATATCTTTATCCTCTTGTCTGTTAGAAATACACTCCCATTTGGGGTCGTCTTTTGGGTTTCATTTTCTTTTAGAAATTTGCATATCAGAAAGTAGATGTTAAAGAAAATCTAATTTTCTTTTACATTTCTGTGTGATTTCTAATAAATCATGAACACATTCATCATGTACTTTTAATGGGAGTTTTTCTATTTGTTTGCAATGAATCTTGAGGTGTTAACATATTCATTCACCATCATGGATGGTAAAGACTCTTGCCCACATTGACTATTGTGGGAACCACTGTTCTCAGAGAAAGCACATCTAGGGCTGGTTCAAATGCCACAGGAATAGCTTCCCTTATAGCTCTTCCTCATATGAGTGTAACATTTCCTTCCAGTTTTTCATGATAAGACAGTATTTATGCACCATTCTGAGAGCTGCATAGACATTTTCACGCTCTGGCCACTCTCCCCTACAGAGTGACTATTACTGGAGTGGTAAAGCTAGAAAACACAGGTCAAGAAGGTTTTGGCTTACGCGCCCTTCACCAAGCAGGTGATGGACCTGAGATTGCCTCCACATGTCCTTTGTGTTCACTACCCTGCTTTGTATCCATTCCTGGAGCAACCCTTCGAAACACAAAGACATTGTGCTGTCTACATGTAGTCGGTGTAGATGCGGTGAAACAGCATGGCAAAGAATCTCAACTTACAGAAGCCACACCCAAATGTGAGACTTGCTTCTCTTTATTAGTACATATAAGCTTGAACAAGCTCAATCATTTCTCTACATGCTGCATCACAACCTATAAAATTGTGACTTTTTTCTTCTTGAGACAACATATTACTCTGAGTCTCGGGTTGCCATCAAACTTCAGTGGTCCTCCTGCCCACTTTTCCACGTGCTGAGATGTGAACCTCCATATCTGAGTCTAATAATGGTTTCTATTAACTTAAATGCATTTTCTCACGGGAATAAGAAAGGTATTAAAATCTGAGATGCTTTCCCCTGAGTCATCTTTCAGTGCATTAGCGATGGTCATTTTCCCTCTTCTTCCTCTCACGGCCTCCTTTGTAGTAGGACTGGGTTACATTCAGTGGAGTTGTTGGCCCAAGGTGTCCTTGAAAATCTCCAAACCATTCAGGCAATAGCCAATATATGTTTCTCTCTACAAATGGACAACAAATTCCCATTGCTGAAAAGAACATCCACACAAATCATTACATATGATGCCTACATAGAACCTTCAACCCAATCTTCTAGTGTCTTGCTATGGAGGATACACTACAGGCTGCTGAAAGAGAAACACAAACACCAAGCCAACCATAAAACCTTTGCACTATAATGCTGTTCATGGGCAAATTATGCTAGCATAATGGTTTCACAATACCAATGTTGGATTTGAATTATGGTCCACTCCTCTAGATTAAAACCCAAACCCAACATGGATGGCCTCCTCTCCTATTCTTGTTTGCCTTTTGCTCTTCCTCTTACATTCTTTTTTTTTCTTTCTTTTTTTCTCTGATTTTTTTATTTGAATTAGAAACAAGATTGTTTTATATGTCACTCCCAGTTCCCTTCTCCCTCCCATCCTCCCTACCAACCCCCCAATAAAACCTTAGCTATCACATATCCTTTCTGCTCCCCCTGGATGGTGAGGCCTTCCATAGGGTGTCATCAAAATTTATCGTATCCTTTGGGATAGGGCCTAGGCCCACCCCCATGTGTCTTGGCTCAGGGAGTATCCCTCTATGTGGAATGGGCTCCTAAAGCCAACACCTATGCTAGGGATAAGTACTGAACTACTACAGGAGGTTCCGTAGATTTCCTAGGTTTTCTCACTGAAACCCATGTACCTGGGGTCTGGATCAGTCCCATGCTGGTATCCTAGCTATCAGTCTGGGGAGCAAGAGTTCCCCGATGTTCATGTCAGCTGTTTCTGTGGGTTTCACCTGCCTGGACTAGACCCCTTTGCTCTTCATTCAATCTGCTCTGCATCTGGATTCCAGTTATTCCGTGATTAGTTGTGGGTGTCTGCTTCTACTTCCACCAGCTGCTGGATGAGGGCTATCGGGTGGCATATAAATCAGTCATCAATCTCATTATTGGGGGGGCATTTAAGGTAGCCTCTCCTCTGTTGCTTAGATTGTTAAGTGGTGTCATCTTTGTAGTTTTCCAGACATTTCCCTAGTGCCTGATTTCTCTGTAAACCTAAAATGTCTCCCTCTATTATGGTATCTCCATTCTTGTTATCTTCTATTCTTCCCCCAACTCAAAATTTCTGCCCTCTCATGTCCTCCTCACCCCTCCTCTTTTCCCCTTCTCATTCTCGTAGCTCCCTCCCTCCTCTTTCCGTGCTCCCAAATTGCTCAGGGGATCTTGACACTTTCCCCTTCTCCAGGGGACCATGTATGTTTCTCTTAGGGCTCTCATTATTTACTAGCTTTCTGGCAGTGTGGATTGTAGGCTAGTATTCCTTTACTCTATGTCTAAAATCCACATACGAATGAGTACATACCATGTTTGTCTTGTTGTGATTGGGTTACCTCGCTCAGAATGGTTTCTTCTAGTTACATCCATTTTCCTGCAAATTTCAAGATTCCATTGTTTTTTTTCTGCTGAGTAGTACTCTGTTGTGTAAATGTACCACATTGTCCCTATCCATTCTTCGGTTGAGGGGCATCTAGGTTGTTTCCATGTTCTGGCTATTACAAGTAATGCTGCTATGAACGTCGTTGAACAGATATCAGTTACCAAAATGAATCAAGAACAGACAAGCAACTTAAACAGACCTATAACCTCTAAGGAAATAGAAGCAGTCATCAAAAGTCTCCCAACCTAAAAAAGCCCAGGGCCAGATGGCTTCAGTGCAGAATTCTACCAGAAATTCAAAGAAGAGCTAATAACAATACTCCTCAAATTGTTCCACATAATAGAAGTGGAAGGGACATTACCAAACTTTTTTATGAGGCTACAATAACCTTGATCACCAAGGACACAAGGACACAACTAAGAAAGAGAACTACAGACCAATATCCCTCATGAACATTGATGCAAAAATTCTCAATAAAATACTGGCAAATCGAATCCAAGAACACATCAGAGAAATCAACCACCATTATCAAGTAGGCTTCCTCCCAGGGATTCAAGAATGGTTCAACAAACAAAAATCCATCAATGTAATCCACCATATAAACAGACTGAGGAAAAAAAAAAAACACATGATCATCTCACTAGATACCGAAAAAGCCTTTGACAAAAAGCCTCTAACACCCCTTCATGATAAAGGTCTTGGAGAAATCAGGGATAACAGGAACATACCTCAACATAATAAAAGCCATATACAGCAAGCAAACAGCCAACATCAAATTAAATGGAGAGAAACTCAATGCAATTCCTTTACAAAATCAGGGACAAGACAAGGCTGTCCACTCTCTCCACACCTCTTCAATATTGTCCTTGAAGTTCTAGCTAGAGCAATAACACAAAAAAAGGAGATCAAGGGAATACAAATCGGAAAGGAAGAAGTCAAACTCTCACTATTTGCAGATGATATGATAGTCTACATAAGTGACAGGAAAAACTCCACCAGGGAACACCTACAGCTGATAAACACCTTCAGCAAAGTGGCGGGATACAAGATTAACTCAAAATAATCTGTAGCCCTATTATATACAGATGACATATTAGTAGAGAATGAAATCAGAGAAACATCACCCTTTATAATTGCCAAAAACAACATAAAATACCTTGGGGTAACACTAACCAAAAAAGTGAAAGACCTGTAGTGTAAGAATTTTGAGTCTCTAAAGAAAGAAATTAAAGAAGATACCAGAAAATGCAAAGATCTCCCATGCTATTAAATAAGTAGGATCAACATAGTAAAAATGGCAATCTTGCCAAAAGAAATCTACAGATTCAATGCAATCGCCATCAAAATCCCAACAAAATTCTTCACAGACCTTGAAAGAACAATTCTCAACTTTATATCAAGAAACAAAAGACCAGGATAGCCAAAACAACCCTGTACAATAAAGGCATCACCATCCCTGACTTTAAGCTCTATTACAGAGCTATAGTCCTGAAAACAGCTTGGTACTGGCACAAAAATAGACAGGTAGACCAATGGAATAGAGTTGAAAACCCTGATATTAACCCACACACCTACAAACACAAGATTTTTGACAAACAAACCAAATTTATACAATGGAACAAAGAGAAAATCTTCAACAAATGGTGCTGGCACAACTGGATGTGGACATGTAGAAGACTGCAGATAG